TCCTAGGCCCCCTCCCTATTCCCCTGATTGGACGGGAGGTACGGCGCCCTATGAGACCTGCGAGAGGGACTTGCAAAACCCAGACCCCTACCACATGGAGGGACCAAGGGCTGAGGAAGTAACCTACTCGGAGACCTCCTCTGGAAAGGAAGGGCCACCCAAGAGCCCAGACTCTCGGCCACAGGATTCGCTTCCCCAAGCGTATCCGGTCAATGTGGCATCAGGGGCTAACAGGCCCTTGGAATGGTATCCATGGGAAGCTAAGGATCTTAAAGAGCTCCGCAAGGCGGTGGCGGAGGATGGCCCAAACTCTCCTGGGCCCAGACCACTAGTTCTCAGTTTATTAAATGGTGTGCTTTCTTTAAGGAGGAATGCAGAGTGCAAGCGGAGAGTAACCGGCAGGCTCAACCAGCAAAACCTATTACTTATGCCATGCTAGCAGGGAAGGGGGAAGGGTACTCCACCGGCATCCAACAGGCCGCAATACCTGGCCCGTACTGTGACCAGGTGAGGCAGGCAGGACTTGCCGTGTGGTACAAACTAGATGATGGGCCTACTGAGTCCTCCATGGCAGAAGTGAGACAAAAACTGGGTGAGCCTCGACCTGATTTCATAGACCCAGTCCAACAGAGTGTTCACCTCAAGCTGCCGACAGGGAACCTCCGAGATCAGTTTGTAAAGCTGCTGGTCTGGGAAGGGAATGCAGACCACCGCATGGCCTGCACGGGATTGAGAGAGAGTTCCCTGAGCAGATGGGTGGTGGCTTCACAGGATGTGGGAACGCAACAGCACCAGTCCCAATCACTAGCTTTAGCTTTACAGGCTCAGGCATCTACAATGACTGAGGCCATTACTCAGGCGCTGGCAGCCCAGGGCCAAGGAACCCCAAGGCCATCGGGGAGAGGGACTTGTTTTAAATGGGGGCAGGAAGGGCACTTTAAGAGGGATTGTTTACAACAATCCCCTGCCAACTGGCCCGTGGGCAAACCGCCCCCTATACCCTACCCCAGGGGCAGGGAGGGATACAAATTTGATTTAGATGGGAAGTCTTTAAGCTTGGGGAGGGGCATCCTCTAGCCCCTTTAACGCAAGGAGGAACCCCCCCTGCTGTGAGGCCCAGGCAGCCTCGTGGCAGGGTGACCCAGGCCCATTGGACCGTCCCCCTGGTGGATGGACTCCGCCCTAAGCCCAATCTGGGTGGAGCAGTGGCCATTGACCAAACCTAAACTTGAAGCCCTCCACCTTCTGGTGGAGGAACAGATAAGCTTCGGGCATATCCGCCCTTGTATAAGTCCTTGGATTTGTTATTCAAAAAGCCTCTGGGGCTTGGCAGATGCACGGAAGGTAAACGAAAGCTAGTAGGAACGCCCCTAAGAGGCATGCCCTGGACTCCTGCTATACCTTCAGAATATACTTTGGTTGTGATTGATATTAAAGATTGTTTTTTTCTATTCCTCTGCATCCAGATGACTGCGAGAAGTTTGCTTTCTCTATACCTTCTCTTAATTTTTCCCAGCCTGACCGGAGGTTTGAATGGACGGTACTGCCACAGGGTATGGCCAATAGCCCGGCCTTCTGCCAACAATACTTGGCCACACTTTTAGGGCCTGTGCTGGGTTCAGATACCTCCCTTGCCTATGCCTACATGGATGATATAATTCTGGGGCACCGAGACCCAAGCTGCCTGGAGGGCCTTCTGGCCCAGGTCCTCGACATACTAAAAAAGGGGGGTTTTACCATAGCCCTTAATAAAATTCAAAAGGTAGCTCCTTTTAAGGTGCTCGGGACCCACCTTACCTTGACTCAGGCCAGCCCCCTTAAGCCTTTGCTGGATAACCCAACTTCAGAGTCTTTTAGGGGAAACCAATTGGCTGTTGCCATGGGTTTCTGTCCCTACAATTACAATATAAGGAAATGCTGGACATTCAAAAACCCTTTAATTTGTATTCTGGTAGCCTATAAAACAAAAAAGGGGGCGTTAGCCCCCATATACAGTTACAGATAGCTTTGTTTTTAAATTTTTCAAAAGGGACAACTGAATCCAGATTTCAGAAGCCCTGGGGACAACTAAACCCTAAGCCCCAAGTGAAAGTCAGGTGGAAGGACCCCTGACACAACAACGGAGAGGACCTGACCCCCTAGTTACCATGGGCAGGGGATTTGGATGCGTTTTCCCCATAGGGGAGTCTGCTCCCATTTGGATCCCTGCCAGGAACCTTAAGTTTTTACCCATTTCCTCTATACAGGAGGATGCCCAAGAATAAGCTAACCAACAACAACAAAAAGCATGGCTGAGGCTTGTGTTTTAAAGACAAAAGCCAGAAAGACAATTATTAACCATCCCCAAGGGCAATCAGCCCTTGAGAAGCTCTTGTGTTCTCTAACAATTGCAGATGGTGATACTCCAGCTGTTGGCTGTCCTGACTCTCCGAATCCCTACGGAACCTGCATCAACCTCAACGGGTGACCTGGGCAGTGATCAATGCTGGCAATGCAGAAATCATCAGGAGCACCACAAGAGAAGCTGTCCCTTCGAGCTGGTGGCCTGACCTTCATTTTGATCACCACCCTATGGACTGTTTAGTTAATTATTTTAATGTTACCTGCTTTAATTGTTCTTCTACTAATTGCTTGTATAGCAGCATTGAATCCATACTTATTGTTAAACAACCACCTTTTGTTATGCTTCCAGTTTAGATTTTGTCCAACCCCACAGGCAAATAGCTGGATTAGAACAATCCCTACCTCTGGACTCTGAAGTGGCAAAGACTGCTATCCCATCCTTCACTAAGGTTAAAGGACTAGTAGTGACATTTATGCCTTCCTTGCATTATGAGCTTAGCCAGCCAGTTATCAAGCTCCAAATGAATGAATTCCCCCCCCCCCCAGAGGAATCGCAGCCAGAGACGGGTAAGAGGGGGTGTCAGTCTGACCAACCTAAGACAGGGCCTTCAGCTTCGCTCTGAAGAAGTTCCCGATGACGGGTAAGGCAGACAAGGCGATCCACCCAACCTAAGACAGGCGGGTTCGCTTCTTTAAGCAAAGACGGGGGAGATGATGTTGGGAGCAATTGGGAGCTGACAGTAAAGCTCAAAGGTCATCTTGACTCCTGTGCTAGCTTAAAGGCACATACAAGGAACTGGCGTACTTAAAAGACACCAGGTGCCCAGGAATTAGTTGAACTGCTTCGGACATTTCTAACTGTGGTGGGACTGATGTTTATTACTGTGCTAGGTGGGTCTGCCATTAAAACAAAAATAAAAGGGGGAATCTGTGGAGCACATGGGCAGCCAAGATGGCTCTGGGAGGGGTTGAGTGGGCAGACCCCAATTGATCTTCTGATCAGTGCCTAACCAGCCCGTGAGGGCTCAGGTGAATGATAGGGTGTGACCTTGACAGTGATTGGTTCCTCTTCCTCCCTTACCATGCCACCCACCCTTGTTGTCTTTAAAAGGGGCTGCTCTCTGTTAATAAACGAGTTTTTCTACCTGCTGGATTTGGCTCCCCGCTGTGTCTGATTGTCTCCTGGGCTGAGGGAGGCTAGGGAACGGGCGAGCGCCGCACTTACCTTTCCTCGGACCCCGTCCGTCTTTCGTGGGACGGACGAAGACCCAACAGCGCCCGGCCTCACCGGAGAGGGCCCCTTGTCCTCCGGGGCACGGCCTCCCTCCTCGGCGGGCAGGGCGCGCAGCTCGGCCCGGGACGCGCGGGTGTCCCCGGCCCGCGCCATCCCCGGGGCTGTGGGCCCGCCGCACCCGACGGTCTAGACCTCCTCCGTGGGGCCGCCCAGTGCCGTCTGCGCCCGAAGTAGATCCCGGGCCTCCGGCGCAGACGCCGCCACCCTGGCCGGGCCGCTCCTCCCATCTCCCGTTTCCAGCGCCCCGCAGTCCTTATCTCCCCAGGCCACAGCCCTGGGCCCCACCCCGCATCCCCACCCTCCTCCTCCTCCCCCTCCCCCGGTCCCCCAGGCAACTCAAACCCAACCAAGTCCCCAACAAAACCCCAGTCAGTAGCTCTCTTTCTCAGCCACAGACATAGGCGGGGACCCAAAGGCACTCGGGGCTCCCCCTGCCTGCCCCGCCGGCCCCCTCCATCTGCCCTCGGACAGTCGTCCCCTGTGTCAGGGAACAATGAATGCCCTGACCAATCAGGAATTTCGCTGGGTGCCACGCGTGGCTCAGGCCCACGGCTCCAGACTTGGGAGGCTGAGGTCTGAGGATCATGGCTCCAGGCCAGCCTGGGGATTAAGAATGAGAAAGACTCAACTCCAATGAAGCACCTCCAAAAAGCTACAAAGTGGAGGGGTGGCAAAAGTGATACAGCGCCAGGCCTGAGCAGCAAAGCCACACGCATGCGCGCGCACACACACACACAGAATGCAGTTGTTTTTTGCTGGCATTGGGGCGTGAACTTAAGGACCTAGGGGCTGTCCCGGAGCTTTTTCATTCAACCTAGGAGCTCTACCACTCTAGCCACAGCTCCATTTCAGGATTTGGGCTGGCTCATTGGAGATCAGAGTCTCATGGACTTTCCTGCCCCAGCCTGGCTTTGAACCTCCATCCTTCAGGACTGAGAGAGAAAGGGTAAACACAATCGGAAAGCAAGACGCACGATCTCAGAGATATACCAGGAGCACTTAACTTAGCAAAATGGTCCCACAAACGACTCCTTAAAAAAAAAAAAAAAAAAAAAGGCTAAATCCATCCACATCTAGAATTTTTTAAAAAGGTCAGGGCCCGCCTCAAACGCCAGACACCTCCCCCCCCCCCCCCTCCCGCTCCAACCAATGGCTGCCAAGGTCCCGCCCGCAAAACCAGCCACACCCCCGTCTCAACCAATGGCGGTCAAGGTCCCGCCCGCAAAACCAGCCACACCCCCGTCTCAACCAATGGCGGCCAAGGTCCCGCCCGCAAAACCAGCCACACCCCCGTCTCAACCAATGGCGGTCAAGGCCCCACCCGCCCCAACCAATGGCTGCTAATGCCCCGCCCGCCGCAAAACGGCCACACCTCCGTTCCAACCAATGGCTGCCAAGGTCCCGCCCGCAAAACGAGACACACACCCCGGCTTGGACCAATCGCCACCGAGGGCCCAGCCCAGCTCTCCCACACACCCCAGACTGAACCAATGACCGTCCAGGACGCGCTTCCGGCGCCGCGGCGCCCCGCCCCGCCCCAACCAATGATCTCTCAGGTCTCCCGCGTCCCGGCCGCGGGGGCGGGGCTCCGTCGCTAGGCAACGGCGGGGCGGGAGGCGACGGCCGCGGCGCGGGCGCGGAGAGACGCGGCCGGAGCCCTCGGCGCCGCCCCCCGGGCAGCTTCCGGTCCCTCCCCGCGGCTCCTCACCACGAGCGTCCCCACCGAGTCTCCGACATCCCGGGACGGCGGCGGCGGCAGCAGCGCCGGGCGCGACTTGTGGATCATGGGCGCGGAGGCCCGCGGGTACTCGCGGCCCCCGGCGCGTCGGAGGCGCGAGCCGCGGGCCCCGGCGACCGCAGAGGACGGCGAGCAGCGCGGCGACGCGCGGGAGTCGGAACGCGGAGGCGGACACGCCCCCTGCGTCCCGCGACGTCACGCCCGGCGCCGGAACCCCGAGCAGCCGCCGCTCGTGGCGCGCGCACGGACGCCTTTCTACGACGCACGCGGCCCCGCCCATTCCCTGGCCCCGCCTCCCTCGGTCGCTAAGCGGCGCCCGGTGGGCGTGGCGAAGCGGTGGGCGTGGTCAGGCAGGTGGGCGTGGCGAGGCCGGTGGGCGTGGCGAGGGGCGGTGCCGGCGGGCGGAGCTCCTGGGTGAGCGGAGCTCCTGGGAGGCGTTGTGATCGCCACCTGCCGGGCGGAGCCGGAACTGCATTGCTTTACTTGTATTTGACTTGTGTTTTAATCCACCTCGGTGAAAAACTGTCTGTGTCACAGGAAGAAGATTTTATTCTTTTATAGAGGAGCACCGGCCCCGTGGAGCTCTGAAGACATCCGCCTTGCCGTGTTCTGATGAGATCGATACCACAGACTGGCCCAGGCCCCGAGTTCAAATCCCAGGAAGAGCGCAAAAACACACGCACTCTCAAAGCCTATTCATAATGGCGTTCTACACCTGGATGAGCGGACTACGGCTGAAGTGCTAGTGAGTGATGGGAAATGGAGATCCTAGTGTGTCATGGGGCCAGGCACTGTGGCTCTGCCTGTAATCCCAGTTCTTCAGAAGGCTGTGAATCTGATTGAGTGCGGTTCAAAGCCGGCTGGGGCAGGAAAGTACATGAAGACTCATCTCCAAAAAGCCAGAAAAGGGGCTGGGGGAGGTGGCTCAGTGGCCGAGTGCTCGCCTAGCATGCATGAAGCCCTGGGTTCCTCAGCACCACAGACACAGAAAAAGCCCGAAGTGGTGCTGTGGCTCAAGTGGTAGAGCGCCCAGCCTTGAGCACACAGAGCTCAGGGACAGCGCTCAGGCCTGAGTTCAAGCCCCAGGACTGACAAAACCCAAGAAAACACCAAAAAGAAAACCCACAAATAATAAAAGAAGTAAAGTATATGCATAATGAACAATAATAATTGCAAGGAAATGAGCTAATAAAGGGAATAAATGATCGCCACAAAGACATAATAAGGAAAGAAGTAAAATAAACACTTATTAGTAATAAATGAAAAGCAAATACAGAACAAACCCGGCTCTGGGGGGCCCCCAGCCCCCTCCCCCTGCCTCCCTGTGGCTGCCCCCTCTGGCTAGCTCAACCCCCAGCCCCGCAGGCCCTGGCCTAGCAGAGGAAGCGGGCTCAGCTGAAGCTGCTCCCCCCGCCCAGCCCTGCTTACAGGTGGCCTCCCGTGGGAGAGCTGGGAATGACAGGAGCCTGGGCCTGGGGCGCCCTCTCCTGGTGAGGGTGGAGAATGGTCGTCACCGTCACTCACGGAATCCTGGGTCTGGGGCGCCCTCCCGTGGTGGATGTGGGGAATGATCGCCTCTGTCACGCGGGAGTCCTGGGCCTGGGGCGCCCTCTGGTGGTGAAGGTGGGGAATGACCGTCACCGTCACTCACCGACTCCTGGTGAGAGCCCTAAGCTGGACACCAGCGGCTCACGCCTGTCATCCCTGCTACCCAGGAGGCTGAGAGGTGGAGGATCATGGATGGAGGCCAGCCTGGGCAGGAAAAGTCCAGGAGACTCTGATCTCCAAGGAACCACCTGAAAACTGGAAGTGGCGCTGTGGCTCAAGTGGTCGAGCGCCAGCCTTGAGCTGGAGAGCTGAGGGACAGCGTCCAGGCCCAGAGTTCAAACCCCACAACCAATTATATATATATATGGGAGATGAGAGTCTCTCGGACTTTCCCGCCTCGGGCTGGCTTTGAATCACGGTCCTCCAGATCTCAGCCTCCTCAGTAGCTGCAGTGACAGGCCTGAGCCGCCCAACACATGGCCAGCCTGGATTAAGAGAGGGAGCTACACATCTCAGCCACACCTTCAAGCTTCCCACCCATCTCCAGGGCCGGGAGATCCAATCCCAGCCCTCCCTCCCGGCTTTCTTCCTGGGCTCAGTCCTGTCTGCAGCAGGCTGCAACCGAGCTGGCCCTCCCAGCAGTGTCTAAAGATAGACACCCGCCCAAGCCTCACAGGAAGCCAGACGTGATTGGCTAATGGGCCGAATAAAGATGCAGCGCCTAAGGGAGCGGAGAGACAGAGACAGAGATTCAATTCTGCCTCCACGGTGAACTCTGAGCTGTGTCTGCCCAGACTGACAGGTGTGTGGTTCCTCTTCTTCCTCCTCCTCCAACTCCTCTTCCTCTTCATGCCAGGTGGACACAGACACACCTGTGCGGGTGGTTTGGGGGCGGGGCTCAGGCTCCCCAGGCCGGAGGGGAGGGGAGGGAGGAGGGGGGAAGGTCCACATACGTGTGTCCCAAAGCCAATCAACAAACTTCAGGCTGGGGCCTCCGCCTCTTCTTCGTCCAGGGGCGGGTGATGGAAAAGAGTTTTACAAGTACTGAGTATTAGAAGTACTAGAGCCAGTGCTCGGTGGCTCACCCTGTGTCATCCTAGCCACTCGGGAGGCTGAGATCCGGAGGATCGCGGTTGAAGGCCCAGCCCAAGGCAGGGACATCCATGAGATACTTATCTTCCGTGAAGCCCCAAGCCAAAAGGGAAGAAGATAAGGGAATACGAACTGGAGCATTGGCTCCACACGGTAGAGCACTAGCCTTGGGCACAGAGAAAACGGCTCAGGGATGGTGCCTGGTCTTGAGTTCAAGCCCTGGGACTGAATAATAATAATAATAGTGAGCCGGGCGCTGGTGGCTCATGCCTGTCATCCTAGCTACTCAGGAGGCTGAGATCTGAGGATCACGGTTCAAAGCCAGCCCGGGCAGGAAAGTCTGTGAGACTCTTATCTCCAATGAACCACCAGAAAACCCAGAAATGGCGCTGTGGCTCAAGTGGTAGAGCGCTCGCCTTGAGCTGAAGAGCTGAGGGACAGCGCCCAGGCCCAGAGTTCAGGCCCCATGACAGACCAAAAAATAATCATAACAATAATAATGGTGATGCTGATGGTGGCATTTGGGAGATCTAGCAGGAGCTTCCTGTCTTCCTCCAAGCTTTTGGGCCCCCCAAGAATTTCCTCTTTCATTTTGCCAGGCCTGGGGGCTTGAACTCAGGGCCTGGGCGCTGTCCTGGGGCTGCTTTTCCCTCAAGGCTGACATTCGACCCACCTGAGCCACTGAGCCACGCCTGCTTTGGGTTGCTGGTTTCCCTGGGAGAGAGAGAGAGAGAGAGAGATCTGAGTCTCAATGGGGCCTTTCCTGCTTTGGAGGCAGCCGGCCTCAACCCGCGATCCTCCACACCTCAGCCTCCCGAGTGGCCGCGATGATGGGGGGGCTGATCCCTCATCCCTACCCCGTGGTTCTTCCTCTCCTGACCCCAGGCTTCCCAGCACACCAGCTAAAACATGGCCACCTCCGAACCGGCCTACGACCTCGAGAACTTCGAGTACGACACATCGGCTGAAGCCTGCTCCCTGGAGGATGTGGTGGCCTTGGGGGCCATCTTCCTGCCGGTGTGGTACTCGCTCGTGTTCGCCGTGGGGCTGGTGGGGAACACGCTGGTGGTGCTGGCCGTGGGCTGCGGGCCGGGCAGGCGGACCCGCGGCGTGACCGACGTGTACCTGCTCAACCTGGCCCTGAGCGATCTGCTCTTCGTGGCCACGCTGCCCGTGTGGACGCACTACGTGATCAGCCCCACGGGCCTGCCCCACGCCGCATGCGCACTGGTCACCACGCTCTTCTTCGTGGGCTTCTTCGCGGGGGTCTTCTTCGTGACCCTCATCAGCGTGGATCGCTACGTGGCCATCGTGCGGCCAGCTGCGGCCCTGGGGGGGCGATCAGCCTCCCACGGGGTGACCCGCAGTCTGGGGGGTGTGGGGGGCCGCGCTGCTGGCCGCCGCCCCCCAGTTCATGTTCACAGGCCGCAGCCAGGACGAGTGCTTGGGCGTCTACCCTGCGTCCCTGCAGCTGGCGTGGCCCGTGCTGCGCGCCGTGGAGGCCACGCTGCTGGGCTTCGCGCTGCCCGCATTAGTCCTTACCTTCTGCTCGTGTCGCATCACGCGGGTGCTGTGCGTGGCCCGCGATCCCCGAAAAACCCGGGCCCTCCGCCTCGTGCTGCTGGTGGTGGTGGCCTTCTTGGTCTTCTGGACTCCTTACCAAGTGCTCCTGGTCCTGGACACGCTCAGGCTCTTTGACTTCTTCCCTGATTGCAATGCCCGCCGGGAGCTGCGCTTGGCCCTCACCCTGGCCGAGACCCTGGCCTTCAGCCACTGCTGCCTGAACCCCATTATCTACACCTTCGCGGGGGACAGGTTTCGTGGCTACCTCCGCCAGCTGGCCAGGAAGTGGCTAGCCGGCTCCGATCCACCCCAATCACCCAGGTCCGAGAGCATGCCTGGGGCCTCGCACACCCTGGACACGAGTGAAGGGAACAGGTCTGTCCTGCTCTAACCCCCCCCCCACCCCATCCTCCTCCCCCGGTGTCCCAGATCTCGAACTCAGGGCCTCAGGCCTCCGGGCCTAGCGTGCTTAACACCCCCCCCCCCCCCGAGCTACGCTCTGCTTCCTGCCTGGTGTTTCTTCGCTGGTTTGTAGCACAGGAAAGAGGCCCGTGGGATCTCCTGGGCTGGCTCAGCCTCGCGCCGCGATCCTCCAGACTTCAGCCTCCTCTGAGGAGGCGAGGCGCCGCTTCTGGCTTTTTCTGCATCTGGGGTGCTGAGGAATCGAACCCAGGGCCTCATGCACGCAAGGCAAGCGCTCTACCACTGAGCCACCTTCCCAGCCCCACGCATTATATATGTGATGTACTATACATGCATAAAACATATGAACATACGTGAACATGCACTCGACGTCTATTTCTGTCTTTTGCTGTGTGGCTGGGGGAGGCTCGGGGGCCATGGGAGTCTGCCGGGGGGGGGGGGATCCATGGGTCTTGGCAAG